AGGTAATTGTACCTTCTCTCAAATTGGAAAGTAGCTCATCACTGAAATCAGTTCCAGTGATGCCTACACCAATTAGTGAGGAAGTTAATCATGATGATCATGAAACTTCAAATCAAGTTACTACCGAACCTCATAGGTCAACCAGAGTACGTTTCACATTAGAGTGGTACGGTAATCGTGTTCTGAAAGTCATGTTACTAGACCATGACGAACCTACGAACTATGAGGAAGCGATGATGAGCCCAGATTCCGCGAAATGGCTTAAGGCCATGAAATCTGAGATAGGATCCATGTATGAGAACAAAGTATGGACTTTGATTGACTTGCCCGATGATCGGTGAGCCATTCAGAATAAATGGATCTTCAAGAGGAAGACGGATGCTGATAGTAGTGTTACTATCTACAAAGCTCGAATTGTCGCAAAAGGTTTTCGACAAGTTCAAGGTGTTGACTACGATGAGATTTTCTCACTCGTATCGATGTTTAAAAGTCTATTCGAATCATGTTAGCAGTTGCCGCATTTTATGAAATCTGACAAATGGATATCAAAACTACATTCCTTAACGGATTTATTAAAAAAGAGTTGTATATGATGCAACCAGAAGGTTTTGTCAATCCTAAAGGTGTTAACAAAGTGTGTAAGCTCCAGCGGTCCATCTATGGACTGGTGGAAGCATCTCGAAGTTGGAATATACGCTTTGATGAGTTGATCAAAGCATATAGTTTTATACAGACTTGCGGTGAAGGCTGTATTTACAAGAAAGTGAGTGGGAGCACTACAACCTTTCTGGTAAGTATATGTGAATGACATATTGTTGATCGGAAATGATGTAGATTTTCTGGAAAGCATAAAGGAGAATTTGAAAGGAGTTTTTCAAAGAAAGGATTACCTGTAAAGCTACTTACATATTGGGCATCAAGATCTATAAAGATAGATCAAGACGCTTGATAAGACTTTCGATGAGTACATACCTTGATAAGATTTTGAAGGAGTTCAAAATGGATCAGTCAAAGAAGGAGTTCTTGCCTGAGTTGTAAGATGTGAAATTGAGTAAAGACTCAAAACCCGGCCACGGCAGAAAATAGAAAGAGAATGAAAAGTCATTCCCTATGCCTCAGTCATAGGTTCTATAAAGTATGCTATGCTATATACCAGACCTATTGTATACCTTAGCATGATTTTGGCAAGGGAGTACAATAGTGATCTAGGAGTAGATCACTGGATAACGGTCAAAATTATCCTTAGAGGACTAAGGAAATATTTCTCGGTCATGGAGGTGATAAAAGAGTTCGTCGTAAAGAGTTACGTCAATGCAAGCTTTTTACACTGATCTAGGTGACTCTAAGTCTCTATCTAGATAAATATTGTAAGTGGGAGAAATTAGCTAGAGTAGCTCCGTGCAGAGTATTGTAGACATAGAAATTTGCAAAATACATTCGGATCTGAAGGTTGCAGACCCATAGACTAAACTTCTCTCACAAGCAAAACATGATCACTCTTCGGGTGTTAATCACATAGCGATGTGAACTAGATTATTGACTCTAGTAAACCCTTTGGGTATTAGTCACCTGAAGATGTGAACTAATCACATAAAGATGTGAACTATTGGTGTGAAATCACATGACGATGTGAACTAGATTATTAACTCTAGTGCAAGTGGGAGACTGAAGGAAATATGCCCTAGAGGCAATAATATAGTTGTTATTTATATTTCCTTATATCATGATAAATGTTTATTATTCATGCTAGAATTGTATTAACCGGAAACTTAGTACATGTGTGAATACATAGACAAACAGAGTGTCCCTAGTATGCCTCTACTTGACTAGCTCGTTAATCAAAGATGGTTAAGTTTCCTAGCCATGGACATGTGTTGTCATTTGATGAACGGGATCACATCATTAGAGAATGATGTGATGGACTAGACCCATCCGTTAGCTTAGCACTATGATCGTTTAGTTTGTTGTTATTGCTTTCTTCATGACTTATACATGTTCCTATGACTATAAGATTATGCAACTCCCGACTACCAGAGGAACACTTAGTGTGCTATCAAACATCACAACATAACTGGGTGATTATAAAGATGCTCTACAGGTGTCTCCGATGGTGTTTGTTGAGTTTGCATAGATCAAGATTAGGATTTGTCACTCCGATTGTCGAAGAGGTATCTCTAGGCCCTCTCGGTAATGCTCATCACTATAAGCCTTGCAAGCAATGTGACTAAAGAGTTAGTTATAGGATGATGCATTACGGAACGAGTAAAGAGACTTGCCGATAACAAGATTGAACTAGGTATGAGGATACCGACTATCGAATTTTGGGCAAGTAACATGCCGATGACAAAGGGAATAACGTATGTTGTTATGCGGTTTGTCCGATAAAGATCTTCGTAGAATATGTAGGAGCCAATATGAGCATCTAGGTTCCGCTATTTGTTATTGACCGAAGATGTGTCTGGGTCATCTCTACATAGTTCTCGAACCCGTAGGGTCCGCACGCTTAACGTTTGATGACGATTTGTATTATGAGTTATGTGATTTGATGTATCGAAGGTTGTTTGGAGTCCCGGGTGAGATCACAGACATGATGAGGAGTCTTGAAATGGTCAAGACGTAAAGATCGATATATTGGAAGGCTATATTCGGACATCGGAAAGGTTCCGAGTGATTCGGGTATTTTTTGGAGTACCAGAGAGTTACTGGAATTCGCGAGGGGAAGTAGTGGGCCTTAATGGGCCATACGGGAAAGAAGAGAAGGGCCTCAAGGGGTGGCTGCGCACCACCCATGGCAAGTCCGAATTGGACTAGGGAGGGGGCGGCGCCCCCCTCTCTTTCCTTCTCCCTCTCCTACTCCTTCCCTCTCTCCCCTCTTGGAAAAAGAAGGGGACTCCAATTAGGATTGGGAATCCTAGTTGGACTCCCCCTATAGGCGCGCCCCTCCTAGGCCGGCCTCCTCTTCCCCCCTCCTTTATATACGTGGGCAGGGGGCACCTCAAAGGCACTACAAGATTCGTCTTAGCCATGTGCGGTGCCCCCCTCCATAATTTTCCACCTCGGTCATATTGTCGTAGTGCTTAGGCGAAGCCCTGCATCGGTAACTTCATCATCGTCACCACGCCATCGTGCTGACGAAACTCTCCCTCGGCCTCAACTGGATCAAGAGTTTGAGGGACGTGGCCGAGCTGAACGTGTGCAGATCGCGGAGGTGCCGTGTGTTCGGTACTTGGATCAGTTGGATCGCAAAGACGTTCGACTACATCAACCGCGTTACTAAACGCTTCCGCTTTCGGTCTACGAGGGTACGTGGACACACTCTCCCCGCTCTTTGTTATGCTTCTCCTAGATAGATATTGCATGATCGTAGGAATTTTTCTGAAATACTACGTTCCCCAACAAGAACCTCAAAGAGTGTCCCAAGATTTCTACCGGTGAAACAAAGATGAGAGTGTTCATTCGGTGTTTTTGGTTTCCTCACAATATGAGTTCGATTCTCAAATCTACATCACTGAATGTGGTTTCTACGGATATGTTTTTATGTTGTGCATATAATTCCTCATAGGTGTCTGGTTTCTAAAGAACTCAAACTGATTGGTTAGGATCCTGGTGCTGCCAAGTGAGAATCTTGAGGAAAGATGGCTAGTTTTATCTGTGAGACTATATAAGAAACCTGGCCCCTCCAAGATCGGGTGGACACCCCATCACATTTATTGTACTCTCGTACTTTGTGTTCCTATTTCCTTCATTTCTTGAGCTCACATCTTAAGCTAAAGCACTTTGAGAGAGGCAGCAGGTTCAAATGGCTTCCTCGCAGAGCTCTACCATAACTTCTAAGTGGTCATCCAGTTGGATCACATGGTGCTGTCTAATTTTCTACATGTCGGCCAACTTGACAAAGATTAAGGAGGTTGAACGGATCCAACAGTATAAGCTGATTTTCATCCTTAATATTAGCTTGAAATTTTAACTAAAGCAACCATTAATAGGCTCAATTAATGTAACAATTGACCATGTGGTGCGGCCCTCTCAAACAACCTTCATGCAAGGAAGAAATCCTTGGTGGAGTAGTTATCCTTCATGAGACATTACACGAGATGCACATGAAAACCATGAGTGGGGTAATATTCAAAACAAAGTCAAATGGTCATTTCTTTAGCAGACCCTAAGAATGAAGGGTTTCTCCAAGAAATGGCATGCATTGGTTGATAATTCCGTCTCTAGCCGTAGTGTCGCTATACAAGTCAATGGTCATATTGTCCATTAATTCAAGAAGGATAAAGGACTCTGTCAATATATCTGATGTCCAATGTTATTTAATATTGTCATAGATACGTTGACCATTATGATTGAGCTTTGAGCATGCTCAATAGGACGGTTAGATTGCAGGTTTTGTGCCCCATCTAGTGGACGAGGGCCTCTCAATTCTACAATATATTGATGACAGTCAGATTGCAAGTTTCATATATGGATGACACATCTAGTGGATGGTGTATACCTTGGGTCTATACCTTGTATCCCTTTGAGGCAATATTATGAGTTACTCCCTCCATTCCACAATGTAGTACGCCCGTGCTTCTCGAGATTCAAGTTTGGCCGTAAATTTAACTACCGAGACTGATTGCGGCGGGAGCAAAAATTATACCACTGAATTCGTGTTTTCGATATAAATTTAGCAAAAATTATACCACTGATCTCGTTGGTTAAATTTACGGTCAAAGTTAGATCTCGAAAAACATGGGTGCACTACATTATGGAACAGAGTGAGTAATAAAAACACCCTTTATGAAGAAAACATGGCTCAGATCTGCATGTAACCCTGGGTTGTATCCATCGGTGTCGAGCATAGGTACTGGTGGGTCATGGTCTAAAACTCCCCTCTCAAATCGGAGGACAACCCCTTTTTTCCAAAAGAAAAATAGCCTTCCACACTTCATTAGCACACATTAGTTGTGCAGCGGAGCAGTTTTATTACACAGAAAAACTCCATGTCAGCTCGATGGTTAGGTAGCAAGTGTGGTGGGGAAGCAACTGTCATGCACGCATCCGAGCACGTTGCGGTAGTCCCTATGGATGGTGAAGGAGTCATACACCTTGCCGTCGCTGCTCTTCTTGTACTCGAACAAAAGCGACGAGTGGTTGAAGGCAGTGAGCTTGGTGAACCCGTAGTCTTTATCCCTGAACACACTCCACTTGGGGGTCGCGCTGGTGTAGCCCGAGAGGTGGCTGCCGCCGCCGCCTGCCACGACAAAGATGGTCCCGTTCATGGTGCCCGAGTAGTTGCTCCGCTCGCTGGTGACGCACTGGCTCTGATAGAGCGGGCAAGTACGCTCGTAGTTGTGGACGTGGCCGAAGAAGGCAATGTCGACGCGGTGCCGCTGCCACAGCTTCTGCAGGCTCTCCCGGCCCTCGGGCTCCTCGAACGAGCCCTGGTCGGCGTACCACGAGTTGGAGGAGTAACCCAGCACCCGGTGCGCCGCGAAGATGAGCCACGGCTGGTGCTTCCGGTCCACCGTGGAGAGGCACTCCTCGATGAACTTGTACTGCGGAGTCCCCTCCCGCCAGTCGTGCTCCGAGTCCGCCACGCAGAACCGGAACATCCCGTAGTCCACCTTGTACCTTGAGATTCATCGATGGCAGTCCAGTCATTTCGTGAGTCATTTGAAACACAATAGTAGTTTGCCATGAACTTTGCAGGAAATGACTCGGATTTCTGTTGGGACTGAAAACCGTGCGTACCAGAAATTTGCTCTGTTTTCGGCCGGGTAGTAGTACATGGTCTCGGCCGGCACGCCGCACTCGCCACCGGAGTCCTTGACGTCGAAGAATCCGCCGGTGTTGGGCCAGTCTCTCTCGTGGTTGCCACTGCACACAAAAGACAAGGAGAATAAGTACTCTGTCCCTGACGTTTCTTACTTGACACTGCTCCACATGGTCATGTCATACAGGATGTGTGTATACGCCCAAACCATACCTTGCAACCATGTAGGGCTTGTTGGCGCTGATGGGGGCGACCTGTGCGGTGAACTGGTCCCACTGGGAGAGGTACCCGTTGGCGTAGGGCAGGTCGCCGATGTGGAAGACGATGTCATAGTTGTCCAAATCTTCAACAAGCTTGTCCGTTGTGTTAAGCGACCCTGGCTGGTAGTTGGCAAACTCATTTGACCCGTCCCTCTCCGCCTGAAAAGGCCAAACCAATGTAGCGTCCGTAAGAGTGATATCCTCTTCCAGCTCACTTCCTTTCTTCTACCCAGAGGCAACAGCACCCATACATTTTTCATGCTGTTCGGCTACCAAGAGACACGCACGCTATCTTGTACCTTTCCCATGTCACCGAAGACGATGATGCGCTGCAGCGAGTTCTGCCCGGGGGTCGGCGGCGCCCGGAAAGTGTAGGACCTGCCCCACACCACCGTTCCGTCAGAGAGCTCATGCCCAATCTTGTACAAGTACCTGAATCACAAACGAACTGGTCTTCAGCAAACGCTGGCAATATCAACATGGACGGGAAGGAACTGCTGCTGCATAGTAGTATTTTTTTTCAAGGGCAAATTAATTCCTTAAATCGGTTTGGCAATATATGTGCGTACGTACTCTTTGTTGGGCCACAGTCCCCTCATGAACGCCGTGTGGATGAACCCGGGATCTCTCCACCCAACCGTCCGCGCCGGCTCGCCTTAATAAACCAGAGAGCACACACTCTCTCGTCAGCTGGTACGTGAAATCTTGTGCAGGATGATGTGATCTACTATCTATCTAGCCCATCAGTTGACGCTCCGTGTACGAGTACTAGGACGTACCGCACATGCTGCCGCGGGTGAAGGTGAGCGTCCCGGCGGGCGTGCGCGTGGGGTTGCCGCCGGAGGCGACCACGCCCCACTCCACGAACGGGTAGGCCTCGCCGATGTCGTAGCCGCTGGTCCACGTCACGGCCATCTCGTCGTGGGTCTTGCCCTGCGCCAGGCGCGGGAACACCGGCGCCTTGGGGTTCTTGAACGCCACCTGCTTCGACACCGTCACCAGCGCCGGCTGCAAAACCAAAATGTAATCACAGAACGTCCTTCACATGCAAAAAAAAGGGATCGGGACAGGGTAGAATAGAACTAGTGGTTACGTTTTCGAGGCCGCCGGTGAAGAGGGCGAAAGAGAAGTCGGAGCGCTGGTTGATGAGCTGGAACCGGATGGCGCCCTTGCCCCCGTAGAGGTAGTTGGCCGAGTAGTTGGCGTACTGATACTGCAGCCCCACACACCAACAGATCATTTCAGGTTCAGCTCGACCATGGTGAAAATTTAGAAGTTAAAGATTTCACTAAAAGTTAAAAAAATTATGTGGTATCTTTGTAGGGGGAGTTGTGCTAACCAAAGACAATCTTGCACGGTGGCGGAGGCTGGGGGGTGCTGGCAGGGGCCTTGGCCCCCCTATGCCCTCACAAGTACAGCTATATGTGCTCCTAATCCTTCATTTTCAAACATAATTAGCAAAATTTAGATGATTTGGCTCCGTCTAACATTATATAACATGTTTGGCCCCCTCTATATTGAGTTTCTGGCTCCGCCACTGATTCTTGGACGATGCAACTAGTCAAGGAGTAAGAAGTGTTGCTTTTGTGCCCATGACGAGACAATCAAACACCTCTTTTTTCAATGCAAGTGCACGTTCTACATGGTCAGTCATTCAAATAGCGTCAAATTTGTATCCGTCAACAAGTATTGCCAATATATTTGGTCATTGACTAGACGAAATTCCAAATAGTTTCAAAACGCTAATAAGGGTGGGGGCGTATGCCTTATTATGGTCGCTTTGGCTATGTAGAAATCGCTTCATATGTGGTCTATGCTATAACGAGCGGAGCACCAACCGTTGTTCAAGCCGGTGTGCACGCGGTTGGAGCAACCGGCTACGGAGGTTTTTTCCCAACATGGTTGGTCTGGGTCGATCCACTGCCTAGTTCGACATAGGCAAAGTGTCGGTCCATAAGACTCTACTGTTGCCAATTTTTGTCAGTTTTCTTACATTTTCTAGTGTCAGACTTTTGGCGTTTGGCTTTGTGCATCCTAGTTATGCAGAGACCGGATGTTACTCATAATATTTTGTATCCGCTTGATACTACATTTGAAATAATAAAATCGCGCTCTATCGAAAAAGCTCGACCATGGTGATGTGCATCCATGTTGACAGGTGTCACCAAATTTGAAGATAAAATTCTTCGTTAGTAGTTAACCAACTGACCTTGATGGGCGCCGTGCAGAGCAGCGGCTCGCCGGGGTACCTCGATGGGTTAGGGCACGACCCCGAGCTGCATATTGGAATTAATGTCAGAGGAGATTCAACAGCGATCAGAAATGAATCTGTTGCGACTGAAATGTTAATGGAAAAAATAAATCCTAATTAAGGTCTTACATGAAATCGGCAGGGGAGAAGACGGCGATCCAGTCATCAGCGGAGGGGTTTTCCCAGCCGTATTTCACCGTGACCCATACGGTGTCTTCTTCCTGTCAGAGATAGTTCAACAGTTTGAGTTTCATAGATATTTTATTTTCATTTTGGCATAGTAGAACAGTTGGCAATTTCTCATATCCAAGCACAAGCACCATCACAAAGCACCCCGTTGTGTGCATCTCAAGACCGGAAGAAATTACGTCAACTAAGGCTAGTCATAGTGGGAGTAACTTAGCTAGTAACATAGCACACTCTAAATTTTTTTGCTTATGTGGCAAGTATTTAATGTAAGGTGGTAACATAATATGTTACTGTAACATAGCGCTTCCTAAGACAAGATGAGTCTACAAGCTAATAAATAAAGTCATCTATGACACTACCATCATGTTACTTTGCATATGACACTAGTTTAAGTTACTCTCCACTATGACCGGCCTAATAGAATTGTTAAGCACTCCGTACAAAGTATCTGCGAAAACTCCGGGTCCCAAAATGGAACACTGAATATACCGAATGCTTACTCAATCACTGAAGCCAGTGCAACAATGAGTATATGAAGCACAGAATCAGGATAAAGTGGTGCTTAGTGCTACCTGGGAAAAGTGATCCGGCATATTCGCGGTGACAGTAAAAAGTATTTACTAATCAAATCAAAAGCCGCACTAGTAATTCTGCAAAACTCCCTCCTTTTCGAAGAAAAAAAAGTAATTCTGCAAAACGTCGCCTGGAGCTGTTGGTTCACTTTGTATATAATGTCCCCCTGAATTAATACTTTGACTGCTCTGCCCTTCGATGCAAGATACAACTAGCACACTATTCTGCTATACAAAATTTTGCTTTCCAAACCCCAAATCCAAAGCCAGCAGGCCCGAGAGAGATTTTGCCTACTGGTCAAATTAAGCTGGGGAATATTAATTAATAAAATAGCTAGGCAATTAGCTTTACATACCTGGTCGCCGAGCAGTGCCGGCGTGGCCCGCACGTACGCGGAGCCGTGCAGGTTAACGGTGGCCTTGTTCATGGCGATCTTGGACAGCGGCTGGATCCCCTCGGCCGGCGACGCGCTCCCCGTCGCCGCGGCGGCCACCATGGCCAACGCCGCCGCCAGGAGGACATGCGCCATTCCCATGCCTCTGCTTCAGCTGTAACTCGTGCGCGCTGGAAGCTGCTCCTAGGCTGGCGAGTGTCCAGTGTACGCCATGGCTGGCCGGCCTATATGCATTCAAGAGAGACACGGATGCAATGCGTATTCTAGTACTCTAGTAGAGAAGAAAAGAAACCGCTTGGAATAAAGCGGTTACCTATCTCAGAAAACAATCAGCAACTTAAAAATAAAAAAGTAGAGAAGAAAAGGCATGTAGCCAAATGGCAGGGCTGGCGGCAGGAGAAGGGGTCCACGAGTATTACACATTTAGAGCATCTCTAACACACCTCTTAAAATCACAAACCGTAAAACTAAAATACGGGACGAAAAAAATGCATTTTGTTAGAATAAATTCGAGGCATACCGTTGATCATCCGAGGACCAAGCAATCACACGAGCACGACACCGAGACTTGTTAACGAGGTTCACCGATATGGCTACATCCCCGGGGCTTGACTACGGGTGCTCCTCCTCGTGACACCGTCACAATACCGCACACCGGCCACCCGGGCGCCGGCACACGCCGCCGGCTCCCCCTTGCGCGTCTGTGCTATTATGTTGGCATAGGTTACATCGTGTGTCTAGCCCCGCTATATATGAGAGGCCTAGGATACAAGTGTCATATTTGGACACGACTCCACATCCTATGTAAACACAATACAACTTCTAGTCCAACTGCAACCTACCTTATACACAATATTCGACACAACTCTAACAAACTCCACCTTGACGAATATTCTCCACCACCCTGAATTTGTCAATGCGTCAAACTTTCATGTACATTGGACTTGAGCTTATCCCATGAGTATCGCTGCTACTCCAAAGACTCCATATGACTCCACCTGTAACTTGTAGTTCCTTCTTTTCTTGACCACAATCAACACTCGAGCAAAATTAAGTTCCTTGTTACTCTAGTTTGTGCTCCCAACTTCCAGAGTATCAGTCCAACGCTATTACACACTGATCACTGACCTGCGTGAAATTGAACAACTCACATATTGGGTGTCACACATAAGAGTTACCTGAACTCAATATCACCGCTCCTTTCTTGACCGTCTGTCTAAACTTAGAGGAATTTCACCATTGCTTGTAATCATCCCGAGCCAAATTCGCAGTTGTCTCACCACATGTATGACCACCAGAGCCCTGGCCCGTCTCCATGTCCCATGCATACCGCACGCCTCGCTGCTATTACCGCGTCGAGCCCCCGCTGTCCCGGTCGAGTCTCAAGGGTCACGAAACCCACACCACTCAACCCCCACTGCAGAGTATCACCGATCATCACCGACCGATGACGAGTTTCACGCTTCCATCATACTAGGATCCAGTCCGAACTGCGTGCCACTCGCTTTTCCCCCTTGCTGAATAGGCTTTGATTCCCTGGATCATTACATCACAGCCCCTCAATCCAGCTCCACCTTCAACATGACTCCATGGTAGATGATCAGTCCACCCTCGCGTCCCGTCGACTTCAAGCTCACATGTGTACGCCATCTTGAATCAACCACACGCCATAGTCTTGTCGAAGTCACACAAGCCTCGGGCTTGTGCCACGTGTTTCCACGTCCCAGAAGTCGGTCACCATCAACATCACGCTCCTACGTCGTCGTCGCTGATTCCACCATCGTCTTCTGTAACAACCGACTTGCGTCGATCCGTCAGACCATCTAGTCCAACCAAGCCGAACCTGTCCGGCTGCACGACATGCACCAGACTCCACAAGCCTTGTATGCACATCCACATGACACGCTTGCCCGCGCGCCTCCGCCACCTGCCCACATGTTCCGAGCCATCACAGCAAACCGACCCAGAAAAAAAAACTTCCATGCAAACTGCACAATTCTTCTTCTTTTTCTGTCACTATTTGTTGTTGCTTCTCCGTGTACCATATAGCAGAACAAGGGACCGAACTTGATCCAACCAAACTGCTCTCATGCACACACATGTGGTCATGTAGCCTTTTTTTCCATACAACTTTTGCTTCAGATACACTTTGGTCGTCGCAGTCTTGGACATAAACTGACTTTCCAGCTTCTCCCAGATCTTCTTCGGCGAATTCTCATCCATCACATGATAAATAACCTGGTCCGACAGACACAACCGTATAGTCCCGGCTGCTTTTAACTATTGGAAATATGCCCTAGAGGCAATAATAAAATGATTATTATATTTCCTTGTTCATGATAATTGTCTATTATTCATGCTAGAATTGTATTATCCGGAAATCGTAATACATGTGTGAATACATAGACCACAATGTGTCCCTAGCGAGCCTCTAGTTGACTAGCTCGTTGATCAATAGATAGTCATGGTTTCCTGGCTATGGACATGGGGATGTCATTGATAACGGGA